AAAAAAAAAAAAAGGATCACTGCCCACTAACATTAAACAGACTGACCCAGACCACAGACAGGCACCATGGCTCATGTCTCTAGTCCCAGCACTTTGGGAGGCTGAAGCAGGAGGACTGCTTAAGCCCATGAGTTCCAGGCTGCAGTGAGCGTGATCATGCCACTGTACTCTGGCCTGGGTGACAGAACAAGACCCTGTCTCTAAAAAAACAAAGACTGACACAATAAAGTGCTGGTCAGGACATGGGACCTGCACGGCTCACAGTGAGAGCACATACTGGCTCAACCACACCGCGCTGAGATCTGAGAAATGTCTGGAGTATGGACTAAAGCTTCACATATACCACTCCCAGGAATTTATCCAGCAACACTCAAAACAACCCCCCCCTTTTTGTTTTTTGATGAGACAGAGTCTTACTCTGTCACCCTGGGTAGAGTGCCATGGCATCATCATAGCTCACAGCAACCTTACACTCCTTGCCTCAGCCTCCCAGTAGCTGGGACTACAGGTGTCTGCCGTAACGCCTGACTAGTTTTTCTATTTTTAGTCGGGATGGGGGGGGTCTCATTCTTGCTCAGGCTGGTCTGGAACTCCTGAACTCAGGCAATCCACGGGCCTCAGCTTCCCAGAGAGCTGGGATCACAGGTGTGAGCCATTGTTCCCTTACAACAATCCCAAACTGGAAACACCCGCACACTCAGCAACACAAGAACAGGTGAACAGCCTGGGACGCCCGGCAGAGGAGGGGACGGGCTGCAGAAGGCCACCCTTGGGCGCAGTGCACAGCACAGGGCTCAAAGCATCCAGCCCAGGATGAGACCAGAGGAGGAGACCAGACCCAAGTGCGACGTGTGAGAGTCCAGTTCTGTGAGCTCCTTCACAGGGAGCGTCGCAGAGTCCTGGTGACTGACTGGAAGCCTCCTGGGGTTCCAGGCTCGGCCTTGACCTGGGCCTGGAGGAGGCGGTGGGCATGTGCATGTTAAGGACATCCTGCTGTGCACCTGGGGCTATGCAGGACACAGTGCATGATACCTCCAGATAGACATTTAAGAAAGAACAAGACCCCAGACCTCAGCAGCCTTCCCCAGTCCACCCAGGGCCTACAGTGCACAGTCCACAGGCCTAGAATTAGAGGTGTCTTACCTTGGGCTCAATGACCTCTTTTGCCTTCCTCTTCCTCTCAATGACATTCTGGAAGCTGACCTTGTTGAACTCCATCACCAGACAGAGGAACAGGGAGGAGATCTGCTGGGCGTAAGGCCCCTGAGCCAGCTGCCCTCAGGGGCCCCTCCAGAGCCTCCCTGAACTGGACTGGCATAGAGTGGGGGCATTGCCCACGGAAGGGCTCACACGCCCCTGCTCTCCCACACCCAGCCCTCCATGCTCTGCTGAGAGGAGGGCACCATGCTGTGTTCCACGGAGGGGCCTCTGGACACTGCACAAGTGGACTCTGCCTGGGACCACTGGGTAACTGCTATCCTCCAGGAGCCTGTCCTGACCGTGACCCCAGCACACCAGGCCAGGGGATCCAGTGCTGTCCTCCCTCCCGGGTGAGACTTCTTCTGGCTTTTCTGCACCCTCCTGAGAACATTAGGGGATGCTCAGAAAATATTTTGGGGTGTGTGCAGTGAGGGCCCCTCCCTAAGGCTTTCCATAGGGTCCCGCTGGGGAGGGAAGTTATGTGTTGGGGGCTCTTAAGTCCTGCCCAGACCCCAGGCTGTCAGCCCCAGAGGAGACACTAGTGTGGACGTCTCATAAACACTGATGCTCAGCCTAAGGCCTCCTGGCCTTCACCTTCAGTGCTGTGTCTGGCTCAACCTCCCTCCCTCCATCTCAGGTTTGTCCTGAGTGGCCGGGAAGCTCCTGGCTCCTATGAAGATGAAAACTCATACAGTCTATGGGGCGCAGCTCGAGATTTGAACCCCACTCCGCTGCCTATTAGCTGTGTGGCCTCAGGAGCTTCTAAACCTCTGCAAGCCCCAGGCCACATCAGGAAGAGGACAATAGCTCCTGCCCTGCAACCCTCCCTGTGCACAGTGATGGACACAGCTGGCCACAAACTGTGCAGGGCTGCAAAAGGCCACAGGAAGCAGGGACCAGCTGCCCACGGCCAGCTCATTCCGTGAAAGCCCCAAACCCTGGCAGTGGCATAGACCCTCTAAGCCTTTGGTTGCATGGTGAGCTGATGCACAGAGTGCCTGTGGGGGTCGGGGCCACATGGCAGCTGGGAAATTTGTTTGTCTTGGGCTCTGTTTCTTCCTCTGTAAAATGGGAGGGTAACCCCTCCTACAGTCAGGTCACTGGGGCTCACAGGTGCACAGAACGCCCTGGAGTGGGACCTGGCCCCAGTTAGGGGCGAGTCAGGGCTGGCTAGGTTTGGAACACTACCACTGACCCACAAGGGCTGTTCTGTGCCCAGTGTGCTTTTCTGCAGCCCACTAGGTGACAGCTGCCCACAGGTGCCAGCTGTGACCCACCTCCTCGTTCCATGTAATAAACATCTCTTTGTACACAGCAATGTGAGTGTGCTGGAGCTTCAGCAGTGGCATCAGCTGTGGGGATGAGAGCAGAGGAAATGAGGTCAGGGAGACATGGCCTCTCAGTTGTGCTCTTTAGCCACATAACCAACAAAGCTCTGAGCTGGGCAGGGAGCAGTTCAGGGAGGCCATGCAGCCTGGTCCCATCTCCAGCACATGCTGGCTGTGCTGTGTGGCTGAGACAAGCTCTCCAAGCCTCATGTTCTTATGTAAAAATGTAGTGACAAGTGGCCTCTGCCCCACAGGGATGTCCTGCGGACAAAGGAAGCTGATGCAGGAGTGCCAGGTATGCAGAAGAGAAAGCACGGCCAGGCCTGGCCAAGACGGTGGTGCTGCTGGAGGGAGATGCGGCTATGGAGGGTGCCAGTGTTCTTGACACAGCTCAAAGTGCTTTGAAAATAAGCCCAAGAAGGCAGCACAGACAGCTTCCTGAGAGCTGCTGAGCCAGAGGGCTAGCATCGGTGATGGAGGGGTAGCTGTTGAGACAGGTTGCCCAGTGGGACATGGAGGGGTCTTGCTGTGGTCTCAAACTCCTGATCTCAAAGGATCCTCCTGTCTTGGCCTCCCAGGGGGCAAAGATTACAAGCAGAAGCCACCATGCCCAGCCAAGAAAGCTGGGGCAGTGTGGGCTTCATGTAGGCATCCCACACTCCTTCTATTTGCCACAGTAGCTGGGCCCGCCACTGTGTGCCAGTCATATCGTGGACCAAAAATGTTTGCTGGCAAAGCTCAAGAGCTGGCCATTCCAAAAAGAAGACAAACAAGTGAGCATTAGATAGGAGGGGACACATGTTACCTCATGTGAAATGAAGACAAGCAAAGAACTGCTCAGAGCCTTTGTACAGCAAACCAAAGCTCCTGCAGCTGCCACTGCTGCCACTGGGAACTGGATGTCACCAGCGGTAAGGTCAAGTAGTAGAAGTAAGGGTAATTTATATTTTCTTTGCTAAACAATTCTCTATTTCCAAATATTCTGCTATAATACTTTTATCATTGAGAATAAAACAGTCGGCTCAGCATCTGTGACTCAAGTGGCTAAGGCGCCAGCCACATACACCTAGGGTGGCGGGTTCGAATCCAGCCCAGGCCCACCAAACAACAATGATGGCTACAACCAAAAAATAATAATGACAACTACAACTAAAAAATAGCCAGGCAATGTGGCGGGCGCCAGTAGTCCTAGCTACTTGGGAGGCTGAGGCAGGAGACTTGCTTAAGCCCAAGAGTTAGAGGTTGCTGTGAGCTGTGATGTCACAGCACTTTACCCAGGGGGACAGCTTGAAGCTCTGTCTCAAAAAAAAAAAAAAAAAGAAAAGAAAACAGTCTTTCAGAAGGTGGTTGCTGGTAATTAGCCTAGGCCCTGCCCAATATTTAAACTTCATCTTCTCTGGAACGCGTGTTCTAAGTTGTCAGAACTATATTTAGAAGTGAGTATCTTTCTTGGCTGGGTGTGGTGGCTTCTGCTTGTGACTCCTCCCCCCTGAGAGGCCAAGATAGGAGGACCCTTTGAGATCAGGGGTTTGAGACCACAGCAAGACCCCATCTCTACTAAAAATAAAATAAATTAGCTGGGTGCAATAGTGGGTGCCTGTAGTTCCAGCTATTTGGGAGGCTGAGGCATGAGGATTCCTTGAGCCCAGGAGTTTGAGGCTACTGTGAGAGCTATGTGGCACCATTACACCCCAGCCTGGGCAACAGAATGAAACCTTGTCTTAAAAAAAAGAAAAAGAGTGTTTTAGGCATAGGCTCCCTTCATGACCTACAGCTGCTGGCTTTATAGCTGGAATAAAACTCCTTGTGAACCTCCATCCCTCCATCCACACAACCCTTCACCCCGTCCCTCCACAGTATAGACCACAGGCCAGCCGTGGTGGCTCAGGCCTGTGATCCCAGCACTTAGGACACTCTGGGAGGCCACAGCGGGTGGATCACTTGAGCTCAGGAATTTGAGACCAGCCTAAACAAAAAGCAAGACCCCCATCTCTACTAAAAATAGAAAAAACAAACAAGTGCGGCGCTGTGGCAGGTGCCTGTAGTTCCAGCTACTCGGGAGGCTGAGACAAAAAGAAAGCTTAAGCCCAAGAGTTTCAGGTTGGGGTGAGTGATGATGCCACCGGACTCCATCCAGGGCAACTGAGTAAGACTGTCCCAAACTCAAAAAAAAAAAAAAAAAAGAGTACACAGTTTGTGTGTGTTGCACCATGTTACTCTAAAGAGAAAACCACCAGCATTACCTCCTCCAGGGCCTCATTGGCCTGATGCTCATCAATGCATTCCACCTGCAAAGGCACAAAAGCACTGGTTTAGTGAATGTGTGGTATAAACCGCCACCACCAACACCACAACCACCACTGTCATTACCACCACCATCACCATCACAATCATCA